CTGTATGCAGTGACAGCCGAGGTTGTGTTCTTGTCAGATGTGCCTCCTCTTGTGGTGTTAAAACACAAGCAATAAAAGCAGGGTGATCTTGTGGCTTCTTGTGGATCCTACAACACAAATATGAGAATAAATTAACTTGACTGAAAAAAAAAAAACATTTGATTTGCTTTCCAGCTTCACTGGGATTTCTAAAGTAAGACCACTTTTCCTATTGTCTCTTTCCATCAATTAGAGTGATTCAATACAAAATTCAATCAACAGATTAATGCAGTTCCCCTAGGCCTTGTGTAATACAACTGGCAGACACAGTGGCTATAAAAAAAACTAAACAAAGAGCAAATGCAGATACACAGTGTGTCAGAAGAAACAAACGGAGAAACTCAATTATAAAAGAGCATTTTTAATCGATTTATTATTGAACATTTAGCCAGCGAGCATTACCAACAGATCAGCAGAAGCAGATGGAAATCTCCAAATCCCATTAAAAGAAAAAAAAAAACAGCAGCAGTCATGTAGAAGTGTATTAATGGAGACTCTTCCCAAAGGCTTTTGCAGATTAAGAGAAAGATAGAGAACGCAATTCCATGAAATTCCAATGAATCCCCACCATCTGTCTTTAGATGCATTTAATACCAGATAAGAGGTTGAACATCCCAGCATGCACAACATTGTGAATCAGAGGATGCTTAGCAAATCTTAATCCACATGACCGTTTAATGCAGTCATCGGTTTTAACATACTGTATGCATTCACAAATATTCAGTAAGGACATCTCAGAAAGCACTGGATTTGCAGACAACAATGATAGTGACACCTAGCTGTGGGAACTGACACTGGTTGTTTTGTTGAATACGGTGTGGTTTGAAGTATTTGATGCATGGTCTGTTATATATTAATTTCAGGCTGGATCATGTTCATGTCTCACACCGTGACCTAATTGTCAATCTGAATAGAACACACTGTGAAGAATGTTCCTTTGGCTGGTGTCTTTCTATTCATAAGACGCTTCCTCATAAATATTTGATGAGTCCACAGTACAGTACACTGCACCAGCATGGGCTATGTGAATAAGGCAGGTACATTTTTGCACACTTAAACATGCATTTGTACATACAGTACTGTACATAACTAGCACATGCATATGATGCTACAACTCTTTTGTTTTTTGTCTTGTTTACAAATAAAAATAATCCTAAGCTATATGTTTGCTTGCAAAGCAAAATAAGATATTAATTCTATGAACATTCATCAAATTAAATTAGTTTTAAAACCAGACAAATTCTTGCTTTCTTATTAAACTTCTACATTTTTTCTTAAATTTTGAAACTTGAAATATCCTATACGTAATATTGCATCTTATATAAAGTTTTATTTATATATTCATGAAGATTTAGACAGTATTACTAGAAAACAATACTTAAAACTTGCTGTATTTATGAATTACTTTCTTGTTCTGTTAAGGTACATCTTTAATGGCTCGGAGATTAAATAAAAAAGCAGCAAACTTTAATATATTGGAGAATTATCTCTTCACTAAACTGCATCTGTCCTTTATTAGGCCAAATGACACTTTCAGCATGCAGATATTGCACAAAATCACGCAAAAGCAGTTGGTCTGTACGTCAACAACAGGAAATGCTTATCATTGTGCGGTAAAGGAAGTTGGTATAGTTTAAAATATGTAAAACATTTCAAATATTCTGGAGGTTTGCTTAAGAAAGCTCAGTCCCAGATTTAAAAATATAAAATAAAATAAATAGCAGAATGGCCTTGAGGCATTTGGATGATGAAATGGCGCTGTTATGAACATGTGAAACTAGGTAAGGGTCGGTAGTTGAGCACTGAGTTTAAAATTATAAGCTTTATAAACTAAGAAAAGAGGATTCCTAAACAACAATCTGCACAATCATGCCAAAATTCTCAGACTTATTTTTGATCCACTTTGGTAGTTTGACAAGTATGTAAATGCAGCTCTTTCTAACTTAAATAACTTTAATTAAATAAGTTAAAGTAACACAAACACATTTGTTGTCATATCATTTTTTACAGTGTAGACTTAACCGTTATGTGCTGTTAGGGATGTTTCCATCCACTCTGGGGTGATTTTCAGTGTTTCAGCAAACTGAATCATTTTTGGTGACTTATTTTGATGCATATGTTGGTAAGATGCTTTGAAATAAAAAAAAAAATAATAATAAAAAAACTCAACGATACACTGGGCAAATTTACTAACCTTTTGTTATGTTTGGGATTAAAACATCCACTAAATTAAAGTGCTGTAATAAGGCATTATATATATATATGCCAAAATCTGTTAATCACCCTCAGTCCTGATCAAAACTGCAAAATTGTTTAGAAAGTTACAGGATTTTAACTCTTTAATTGCCAAATTCATGAATAATGTCACTGATTTGGTGAAGAAAACATAAAATCTTCTTCTCTTCAATATAAAAATTAATTGTGGACTTGTTTTTTTTTTAACCTTTTTATCACAGTCTTGGACAATTAGTAACATAATTGCCTTCAATGCATAGTTAGTTTCTGTGCAGCATACGGTTTACATTTTTTCTCTGAATTCACTGTTCATGGCTGTTTTTGTAGACAGATCAAGGAAGTGTGCAAGGGTCACGCTCACACTCTCACTCCATGACAGAAACACATGCTTTAATTTGCTGTTATACTCCATACAACTCCATATAAAACCATAAACTCTTTTTATTTTTTGCACAGGCCTATCTAAAGGGTTAACGATGCCAATTAATGATCAACAGCAAAACTTACAAGTTTCATCTTTTACCAACAGGGAAAACCACCAACAATCAAAAATGCATGATTATATGGAGTCAAGGCTATATGGAGTCAAAAAAGCTTATAATGGAAGTCAATAGGCAAAAACAGCCACCAATAGTAATGTGCACAAGGGTTACTTGACAGTTTAACTGCATATTGAAGTGTAATATTGTATTGTTTTACTTCATAAACCCATCATCAGAACCCGCAAGTATCAATTTTGTTTTGCCCGTATATGTTTTAGGTTCTCAATGTGTCAACTGTTGTCTTGCATTTGATGAATCACCAGGTAACGTCATCTAAAAAAATCTTCATCAATGTTCTACTGAATTTAAAAAGTGTATCTTTGATGGCCTGAGGGCAAGCAACAGCTTTTCATTTTTGGGCTGAACTATGTCTTTAAATTCCAAAAGGGTTTAGAAGTTGTTGTCACTGAGCAATGGGGCGATTACTCAGCTTTCAGAAGTAACAGGCCGAGTTCACATGATGCATGACTCAACACTCTCTTTGTATAATTCAAGCAGTCACAGAAATGCCTGCTGCTGCTCTCCGAGTGTGAAAAACAGCATGCCTCCAGCTTCCAAACCTGCTTTTTTTTGTTTTAGCCACTTGAAATGCACCAGAGTAACAGCGGCAGCCTGCGTTCACAGAAAGCCTTTTTTTCAAGTGGTTCCTCTTGTTTGTCTGCCATTCTCACTGAGCTCTTGATTGCCTCTTATGAAAAGCAATGACACAATCCACTCTGCTTGAGAACTAAAGGCCTCATATTCAGAGGTGAGAATTTCTTATGCTGTTTTAAAAAGCTGCGTGGAGCACGTTTTTTTGACTGTAGATCTTTATTTATACAAGCAACGACTGATGGTTCAGTTTACACAGGAAACGTCTGTGTTCACACTAGTGGCCCTGTTCAGTATGTTCAGTACTTTTATGTTGAGATTCAAAAGTCTGAAAACACAAAGCAAAACAAAGAAGCGTACACAGACTTTTGCTCCAGTGTTTACAAAAAATATCCGAAGAGGTTTTAATAGATTCAAATGTGTTTCTATTTGTTTCTGTTTGACATTTGATTAAAAATTAAAAGATTTCTACAAACAATATAAAATAGTAAACCTTAGGCATAATCTTTTCAACATACTATGGGACATACTACTTCAAAATTTAAATACTATTTAAGATGGAAAGAATTGGGACGCAGCAATTCACTTTCACACGGACTACAATCTCGTCACCATATGGACTACAAATCCTGTCATGCACCTCACACACACACCTGTTCCATTTTTTCAGATGATTATACATACACACACACACACACACAGCTGGGAGCTGCACAAGGACTGTTTACGCAGACTTTTTACACAGCACGCACACACACACTTCAGGGCTGAGTCTTGCTCGCTGTCATTGTAGCATAATGAACCTGGTCATTCTGTGTTTTGATCCTTTCCTGGTTTTTCTATTACTGATTCTTTGCCGCCTGTATAACCCCTCGCCTGTTTTTTGATAACGCAATTGGATTACCTGTATCCTACTGTTTGCTCCTGAGCTTGATGATCTCCTGCACGACTATTCTTTATTAACCTGCATGTGGATTCCCAACTTCGTTGTACAGCGTCTTTAAGTTATATGTTGTATATTTATATAAGCTGTCTATTTATTAAAATAAATCACTAATAAGAATAAATATTTACTAACATTTTGAAATTAAGTTTTGTCATCACAGGAATAAATGAGATTTATACTGTATTCTGACAGTTATTCTGAACTGTAGTATATAAATGTAACAATTAATATTCCATGTAATATTCCATGTTTTCAGTTCATTCATTGAGCTTAGTCCCTTTATTAATCAGGGGTCACCACAGCAGAATGAAGCTTATCCTCCACATGTTTCACACAGTGGATGCTCTTCCAGCCGCAACCCATTACTGGGTAACACACATACACACTCATTTACATACATACACTAAAGCCAGTTTAACTGACCCAACTCACCTATAGTACATGTCTTTGGACTTTAACACAAGAATTATAATAACTAATTTACTTTGTCTTTGCCATGATGACAGTTTAGAATATTTTACTAGTTATTTAGCAAGATACAAATGTTTAGCCTAAAGCGCAACTGAAAGGGAGTAATTCTGTTAACTAGACAAGTTACAGCAGTGCTTAATTTGTAAATTGCGAGGTCCCAGAACAGATCGGGGTAACGGACCTGGCATGTTACCCAAGGATGTAGAGGTTTCGTGCACTATAGTGGAGAGTTGGGGGGAGGAGGGGGGGGGTGTTGTGGCGAGACATTGGTAGGCGGAGGGGT